TATATTTGTTCAATTATTAATTTAATTATCTGTCGAAGTACTGATAGAAAAGAAAGTCACATGATTTTTTAAAAAATACTAAAACAATTATTCAGATGTAAATCGTATTTTGTAAAAACGTAAATCCTTTGATCAAAATTTTGCAAGAGAACATCTTTCGCGATAACGATGCTTTTAAAAAAAAATTTCATTCTAAGAATTTTCGAAAGATTGATTTTTTTTTTATATTTTCGTCTTTTTTTATTTTTCAAAAAATTATAATCAATGAAAATTTCGAAATTTTAAAAATTCACAAGATTATATTAAATCTCTAACGAGTTATATTACTTGATTACCTCGAAAAAATCGAAATAAATTTTTCAAAACGATAGAATAAGTATCTCAAAAATTATAAATTTGAGTGAATTTTGTTTCAAATTGAAGAAAATATTTTCTGCAATTAATTTTAAATTTATCTAAATTTATTAATTTGAAATATAGAATTGAAAAAAAAGAAAAATATTGTTCAATATTTTATGCAATATTTAATTAAAACGTTGTTTAAATCTAAATTTAAAGCATCAGAGAAAGAATATGAAAATTTAAAAAAAAATTTTTCGCATTTATTCCCATGAAAATGTAATTTAAAAATATATTCATTTTTTCATTTAAATTATAAAATATAAAGACATACTATTTAGATACATTTAAAAATTATACGATTTTCATACATTGAAAAAATATTAATTACAAATATCCAAAATTGCAGATTTCTATCTTGTTTATTTTGTAATGAAAAAAAATTTTAATAATAATTTTCTCCACATCCGAAATTTATCTTTAAGGATATTAATATACTATATGTATATATTTAGTTTTTTTTTAAATTAAAATTATTCTAAGTAAAGAAAAAAAAAAGAAAAAATTAAAATCTTTTGAAGAATTGTTCAATCTTTTGATAATATTTCATTTTTCATTTTACCAATCATTGCTCTGAAAGTCATCACAGCATCCCTAAAAAAAATTAAACGATTTATAGGAAATCAAAATTTTTTCAATAATGAAAGTTACAAAAATATAGTGAAATAATTTTCTATCTTTCAACTAAATTATACAAATTATATCCCCATACTACATCTTCGAATTACGAAATTCGAAATATTCAATATGGAATAATATTTTGATCTCCACACTCGACACAGAGTATCGACCGAAGCTCGAATTCCAATATGTCTCAAATTATCCTCGAAACGTATTTCACATCCGTCGAAGAAACGGATAATCGATCAAAACGATCAGAGTTTGTTTCTCTAAAATAAAAAAAAAAGAAAAAAAGAAAAAAGAAAAAAGACAAAAGCAATGATAAAAAAAAAAATTACGACGGTACGAGATAAAAACCGGGAATTTTCGCGGTAACGCGAAGTGAAAATGCGAGGAGAAAATAAAACGGCGAGGTCGGTTACTGGCAATCTATTTCGACCATATAGATGCGAGGATCTGGAGCAACAGGAAGATACGGTGAAAATTTAATCGGACACTATATCGATGGAAAACCGCACGAAAACCTGGGCTCGTGGCAAATCCGATCCGATTATAACGCAAGGATATATACGCTTAGTCATTCGTTATTTCAATTGGCTGTTTTTACGCCCGTCACGAAATCTGCAAGACGGATTGGATTGTTTAACGATCGCTTAACGATCGAGTATTTTTGAAATAAATGATTTTGTGTAACGATACGACGATGGAAATTAAGTAGACTAAATATTGTAGACGTTTTGAGGAATTAATCTCGATGAAAAATTAATTTTATTTTACGTTCTTTCAATCCAATTATAATTGTGATATTGTTGTTTATTTTTCAGGTTTAAAAATAATAGAGAATATATATATATATTTTTTTTTGAATCAGTTTTATGTCAATTTTTTCGTTGTTGAAACTTGTTTAAGTTATCTTATTATAAATAAATAAATAAATATGGGGTTAAATTTGAAAGGATTAAAAAAGAGAACGATTAGTATACAAATTTTCAAATAAGAAATTAACAAAAATAAATTAAGAAAAATTAATTCTGCTTTGTGTTATTTTAGTTATTAATATCTATTTATTTTTTAATCACTTTTATGTAACAATGTTTGCATTGATATTTGAAAAAAATTCTTTATAGAGAATTAAATTTAAAAAGTTATCGGTTTGAAAAATAATAAGAATAAGAATTCTTAGATAAATAAATTATTTTATCCGTATTACTAATATTATATATATTAGATTAAATTATTTTTTCCAGTTATATTATCAATATTTAACATGAAATGATATGTTCGCTGTTAAGTCGAATGATTGGGATTGATTTACAATATGACTAACGTGCTATTTTAGAAGTAACACCGATTGTGAGATTATTAGTATTACACCACTATTCGATTATATCGTGGCCGTAACAAATGTCACGAATAAAACGAACCGTTAAATTAATTCTAAAGTTTTTTTCAATTAATTTTATCAATGTGATTTTATATCAAATATTTCATAGAAAAATGAGTGATGAGAGAGGTGGAAAGAAATACAGTCAATCCTTTTATAACGCAGTTAATTCATTCCACGTTGTATCGAAATCGTGTTAAGTAATTTCTTAAGTGAATACGAAAAAATATTTTATCATAAAGAAACAACTTTATTGGATGTGATGATATAATTGACCATGACATTTTTAAAATGTATTTCGTATTATTAAAGGATACAAAATATTACGGAATGTCAATATTACGTAACTTTGTTAAATTATGATGCATCGAGAATAATGTAAATTATATTTTATTTGCTTTGCTAACAAATATTGCATCATTTTTTTCAATTTTTTCTGCGTTTCACAAATTTATATTTCGTATTCTTACAAAAAAATATTCAAACGAATATGTATAAGAAATAAAGAATGACACGCTATAATTGTAGACTATCCAATCTCTAAATGCAGCTATTTTAATAATCATTTTAGAAAACAGAACAAACAGAAGAAATCTCGCTTTATAAGAAATTAAACAAGATTTAAAATACAAAATACAGATGAATATATTAAAAACAATGTAAAGATTGTCCATGTTTATTAATCCTTTGCTTTACGATTTAATTGAAAAAAATCAAGAAATATTATTATTAATTTTGTTCAAAACTCCATGTACGTTATATTAAAATAAAATTATAAAAAAAATCATCCAAATCGTCGATATTTTTACAAATTTTTACATATTGAAAATCTATAAGTTGAATGCATTATTGTAAGATAAGAGAGTTATTAAACAGTACAATTAAAAATATTCGTCCTTTAAAATAGCTTTTTAATTGGAACATTTTAAATTTTTTGGAAAAGTTAGAATAGTTTTTACAACTGAATCCGCAATGAAAAATTAAAGAATACATTTTGTGTATTTATTTCAGTTACATACAGGATGGAAATTTCATCGAAATCGATTGATACAGAAACGAGATAGACGTCGAAAAATATAAAAATTTATAGATTTTATAGAAAGAGTGATCGAATATTATTTATCAATGATTATATAAAAATATCGTATTAAATAGAATTATTATTCTATTATTTTTGCAAAAATGTTTTTATTAAAATTATGCTTTCAAAATGTTGTATAAAAGGATTGATTATATTATATTCTACCAATGATAGGAAATGAAACACAAATAATGTAAATTTCACATGTAGAAGTGAAATAGAGAAATAAAGAATAGATATATATTTGTAAAAGTCAAATGAATATCGAGGGATGAGGAGAAAAAATATTAGGTAGACATGATATAAAAAATATGACTTTTATAAAAAAGATAATTTTATTCTACAATATGTGAACGTGTCTCGATATCTCAATCGTAGATTGTGTGCCCCCTTCCTCGAAGATTCTTTAAAGCAAAAAAATAGAAAGAACAAGGAAAAATAAGAAAAATACAAAATATATCTTATATATTTTTTATCTGATAATAATAAGATAGAATTGTAATACTTTACAACTACTAACTTTTATAACAAAAATTTTTAACTGTTCATAAAAATTCATAAAATTCGAAATTAACATTTATATAACATTAATTATAAATTAAAATCATATTAATTAAAAAAATAAAATGAATACAAAATATTATTATATATATATATATTATTTACTTATTTTACGTTTTTAATTAATACATTTATAATTAATATATTCATATATTTATAATATTTTGCTTACTGCTTCATTTACTTAAACATTTGTTTATCAATTTATTTATTAATTTATATCTTCATTCATATTTATTCATTCATTTATTTATTTTTAATTTACTTTAAATTTTCAATTGATTTATTTATTTTAAATTTTATCTTTATCTTTTTATTCAATTTAATTTTTTAATTTATTTCTATATTCACTAGATTGGCTATTATTATAATTGTATATTGGCTATTATTATAATTGTTATTCTATAAAATTGTAATATTTATTTAATATTTATGCATAATTTTAAAATATGAAAAGACTTATTTTTTCAATATTAAGACAAGTTTTGAAAATTTATTTATTTATTATAATTTTTAGTAAAGATATTATTTGAAAAATAGATAGTCTTAAAATTAGAGAAAGATCAAAAATAATCACAGTTTTAAGGATTATCGAACCATTATATTAATTATAAATTAATATTCAATAAAATAAATATAATATAAAAATCATTTTTCATTCGAAAATTATGTGTTTATTTTAGGTTTAATTATCGGTAAAAATTTTTATTATTGTAAAGAAACATTATTATAGGCATTTATATTAAATTAAAAATAAAAATCCAAAAATTAATTAAATCACTAGCCATTATAAGTATACATGTAGCTTTACAGTTTCGCATAAAATAATATTTAAAATATTTTTATAAATTGAAAATTAATATCACAAAGTCTAATTTTAGTTATTTTTCGCATAAGATTGCATTAAAATATTTCCACATAACTATAAATCGAAAATTAATACGATGAAACAGTAAATCTGACTGTAATTTATTTTAATTATTATATTATATACCATCATAAGTAATTGTTATATGAATAAATTAACAATAAAAATCTAAAAATTGTTAAATTATTGATCACTATATTCCTAAAATCGATTTTCACACGATCGACAAATTACGACATATGTCTTCGTCGAACTTCGCGACTGATAATAAATACGAGGCAAATCACGGTCGAGAGATCATTTCTTATGGAACTTGCCTCTCGAAAGCATCGATAATATGATACTTTGATTAAATTTTTATAACATAATAAATAATTAAATAAACAATTTTTGATCACACATATTTATAAAATTTATTATTAACATTTAATATTTGTTATCATGTATATTATTTTATTCATTTTATTATTTAATTACTTACTTATTTACATATTTATTCAGTTCAAGTTTTGTTTATTGATTTATTTATCTATTTTTTGTACTTATTTTTAAATTATTTATTCCTTTATATATATATATATATATATATATATATATATATAT